TTCCCCGAACTTGCTTCCCCGCCCCCTTCCTTGTCGTTCTTTGTCTTGTTCAGTCCTTTCTGGTATCTGTCCAAAAGCCTGGACTCCGACTGGAGTGTGGCACGTGTGGGACAGAAAAAAAACCACAAAAAATACCCCGAGCCTCTTCTTTCCCGACCCCAGCCTCCGGTGCCCTTTTTTTTTTCCTCCCACCCTCTGCTCATCATTAACCCGAGATTCCCAAGCTTCTCCCGAATCCGCGCGTTGGAATCTCACACAAACGCCTGCGACTCCAATCCATACGCACGCCTACGCGTTCGTCTTCTATCCGTGTGTGTGTGTGTGTCTGTGTGTGCACGCCCGCCCTACCCAGCCATTCGGCTCTGTGCCTGCGTCGCACTCGCTCTTCAGATACAGATCTCTCGGCCTTGTTTTACCCTTCCACCTGCCATTGCTCGGAGACTGCCACACCGAGGATGCAGCACAACGGCCACTCCCTCAGCAGCCGGTCACCGCCTGCAGCTAACATCAAGTCTATTCAGCACAACCGTAGCCAAAGCCATGACCAGAATCAGTCTCATAGCCAGGACCTGGACTCTGACGACGGCAACCAGCTGCAAAGCGGAGACGAAAACGATCTTGACCAGGACGATCAGGATGTCACCCGCCTTGGGAAGCGCAAGAGACCCATATCTGTCTCGTATGTCGTTCTCCCTCCTAGCTCACCTCACCTCAGCCCATGCCACTCACCCTCACTCAACCCTATTACACCTATCTCTCTCATCTCTCAAGCCATATCAAATCCGGCAGTCTGGGTGCCTTGCTCCCTTTATCCACTCACACGCCTCTCTACCTCCTGTCCTTTGCCCAGTTTCTTGTCTTAAATTGCCCCCCTTGGGCTTTGCCCCCATGTCCCCCGAACCACAATCGCCTGAACCCGTGCCTTCTGAGCAGAATCCCGAAGCTAACAATCCAACTCCAAGATGCGAGCTGTGCAAGCAGAGAAAGGTTACACCAGTTCCCATTTCTTTTTCCGTCTCATGCTCTTCCTTTTGTGCTGCATGTCACCTCTCCATATTACACATCATTGTGTCATGACTTACTCGTCTATATCCCGAGAGGTCAACGATTGCTCTCCATCCTTTTTATTATTCTCTTCTTGCCTCAGAGACTTACTCAGATCTCAACCTGGAATCTGTGGCTGACTCGCCTCGACTGAATAGGTAAAATGTGACCGTGGACAGCCCTCCTGCGGCTGGTGCAGCCGCAATGGAGCCTTGTGCGAGTACAAGGAGCGCAAGAAGCCCGGTCTTCGCGCCGGCTACGGCCGCGAGCTGGAGCAGCGACTGGACAAGCTCGAGGAGATACTCAGAACTCACTCCGAGATCCTCCAGGCGACCCTGACATCCAACCAACATCACGGCGTGGCACCAAGCATTCGGAATAGTAACCCGAGTCTGCCGAGTGATCATGGCACACCACGAGAGACCAATGCCTTGTTCCGGCCGTCTGAGTCCCATCGAACGCCGCAGGCGGAAACGGCTCTCTTTCTTCAAAAACCATCATCTTACCCCTCAACCTCGCAGTCCATGGAGTTCGGGATGCCGCCCCCCACTCCATCCATGCACGAGTTCCAAGGTCAAATGCCCATGACCAGCATGGCTGCACCGCCGAGCCATATTACTGCCATGTCGCACCCTAGCAGTGCGGCGCAGGAATATTATGGCACAAATCAAACACAACTACACTCTCCAGATGTTGCCATGGCACAAAGTCAGACGTCGACAGCGCCAGACCAGGAGCTACCGCCCTACGACCTGCTTTACGCCCTAGTCGATCTGTACTTCAAGCACATCAACACCTGGTGCCCCATACTCCATCGGAAGACGACCTTGGATTCTTTATTTGGCCCATCCACCCTTGAAGAGACAGATCGTATTCTGTTACATGCCATTGTTGCCACAACGCTCCGATACTCTACTGACTCAAGACTGACCGAGGAAAGTCGGCAGCATTATCATTCCATATCGAAGCAGAGGGTGTTGCTCTATGGCATGGAAAATTCCTCGGTTAAGGCCCTACAAGCCTTGGTGATTCTTGCTCTGGACCTTGTCGGCAGCAGCAATGGCCCCCCTGGCTGGAATATCATGGCTCTGATAACGAGATCGGTTGTCCAACTTGGCCTGGCCGTTGAGAGTACCTCATTCTCAGTTTCGCCCAATTTTACCTCCATTTATACGCTGAGGGCCATGATTCTACCAGAACCAAAGGACTTCATTGAGGAGGAATCGAGGCGGCGGCTCTTCTGGATGATTTACCTTCTCGATCGGTATGCCACTCTAGCCACTGCCTTTGAGTTCGCGCTGGACGACAAGGAAGTTGATCGGACCCTACCCTGCCGAGATGATCTTTGGATCAAAAATCAAAAAGTTGAGACACGATGGTTCAGAATTCAGGACCATCCCGAGGACACGAACCCCGAATATGAAATCAACAAGCCCGAGAATCTTGGTGCTTTCTCATATTACATAGAAATCTTGGCCATATTGTCCAAGATTCATAAGTTCTTGAAGCAACCTGTCGACATCAGTGCTCTCAGCGATGTTGAGCAATGGCAGATGCGCTACAAGGAGCTCGACAACATGCTCACATCCTGGAAGTTTGGTCTTCCCGGGGAGTACGGCAATATGGCCAAATTGTTCCAGCCCGGTAATAAGACACTGAACTGCGGCTGGGTGATGTTGCATGCAACCTACCACACGGCTGTGATCCGATTGCACTCGTCGGCGGCGTATCCCACAACTCGTTCGCCCATCTTCACCCCTTCATACAGCGCCTCGCAACGCTGCCACGGCGCTGTAGAGAACATTGCCGCGCTAGGTGAATTTGTCGTCAATAATGGTCTTTTGGCAAAGCTTGGCCCTCCCTTTGCTTTTACCCTATGGGTGGCCTCGCGTCTGTTACTCGTCCATGGCTCTACCGTTGAGCACAAGCTCTCGCCTCAGATTCAATTCTTTGTCGAGACGCTGCGAGAAATGGGACGCTACTGGCCTGTAGCTGCACGTTATTGCGGCCTTTTACAACGTGTTCTGGATGAACATCGCGACAGCGAGCGTCAAGGGGATGGCGTCACACCCAGTTCAGTCAAAATACTAGCCGACATGCGTCGCACGGCATTTGACCTCGACTTCCTGATATCCCGTCAGCCGCGTGCCAACGGTATGCCAAACCACAGCCGGCTTCCCAGCGTCACACCGGCCAGAACGCCAGCACCAAACGAGCTCGAGTACCTGGATGTATTCGACTTCTTCAACGTGCCACGTTTACCCGCTGGCAATGAAATCCAGCATGCTATGAACGGCAGTAACGGCCAGAACGGGGCCACATCGGCCATGGATGCTAGCAGCGAGAATGGCAGTTCCAATGCGCCGCCAGCCCCGGGGAACCAGTTCAACATTACGAATTTCATGGTTGACGCCAACAGCGACTGGCTCTTCAAGCAGGAGGGTGCCAAATTTCTTTCATAAGTTGAGCAAGAGAGCCGGTATGAGTGCGCAATTGCAAGATAGGATGGTCCTAAGCGTGCGTGCTACCTTTCCGGATTTATTGGGGCATCATTTCATGTGGGAGCTTAGCAAAGTCTCCTACTTTTGCGTTCGACTTAGCGACCTTTAGTTGGGAACTGGCATTTGGAGGCTTGTATGATCATGAAGGACGTCACGCAGGGATGAGCGTGAGTGGAAAAAATAGGACTATCATAGTATTGAGGAAGATGAGGATGAGGATGAATGAGGAAACGGTGGCTAGTGGATGATATCTCGGAAGATAATAATGAAAAAAGAGTATGACATGAAGCGCTACCACTTAATCTCGAATCTCGTTTTCCGTCCATAGTTGGTTCGCGCCCTTCGTCACAGGCCTCATCTCGGCGGGCCGTTCCGCCTCTCACGTGAGGTAGGTGCTGGCCAGGCCTAGCCGCCTTGGACATACCAAACCCAGCTGGATCCTGTGCAATTCATCGGCTCTTGAAGTGTGTGCTTAAGGTAATGGTAGGATCTGATTCGGTTTTATGGACCTATGTACCTGAAAAGGCTGCTTTCTCCAGCAAAAGCTCTGCGCGGGTGAAAGGGTCTTATTACAGAATTAAATTACAGAGATACGCATATGCTAGTATATACCATTAAAGGGTAATCACGTACACGGATATTTGCAAAGGGTGAGCTTTTTTACGCGTTCACGTGCCTCGAATAACACAATGAACCAATTTACCTGGAAAGGTATAGGACCCAGAGGACAGCTCCTGGCTACTCTAAAGCAAAGCTTATATACTTTGGGATAAATTGCAATGTATGGATGGGAACGTGGAAGTGTCCATGGGAGAATTGCGCTTCGGCGATGATACGAGTACACAGAGCATGAGTTTCCAGAGGCCGAGCCGAAACCCCCTCATAGTCATTATGTGACTGACGAAGCCTACGATATATCAAGAAACTTGATGATTCAGCTGGCCCTTGACCACCCCATGTAAGCACTGCCATGAGGCATATAATATATATCTAGCAAGATCAGAATCGGCCTGAAATAGGTCGCCCATCTAGAGTCAGTCCCAGAGGTATAGACAGTCTACGCCGTGACTAGGATGGGGTTGAGACAGCGGCTGCTTGGGTCTACGGCACGTCTACTTGGGCCATGTCATGTATATATGATGAATCCAAACCATCGTTGTCCGGTGGGTCGACGAACAGCAAGAGAGTATAGGCTTACTAGGCCACTATTGTGGACAAATAGAAAGGGGCAGTTCAACTGAGTCTTCGAAGCCACAGCATTGCTCAATCCTTGGACGAACGGAACACGGCTCACTACTGTGCCTAGATCTTGGGCCTGCGAGAGAAGTAGCTAGATTCATATCTGCAATAGTAAGCAACTTCACCATTGGTATCACAATGAACCGAGAAATAGCGGGACGAACAGGAGGGCGAACGAAAGAGACAGGGGGTATTTATTCATTATGTGCACGAAGATTGGGCACCTTGTAAATTGCTCCCAGCCCGAGGAAGATCGAACCTCATGCGACAAATAGCAGACATGCCGCGCCACAAACGCCCCGTCATAAGACGCTTTTCCGAACGCCCGTTGTAAAATCAGAATGCGAATTCGACCAGGACAGCCATCCTCTCAACCGCAGCAGACACTTGGCTCCTCGATCCCGACAATATTGTTGGGAGCTGCTGGCGCAAGGGCCTCCAGAGTGACACGAATAACGAGCCAGTCGCAAAGAAACTTGCCCAGGCCAGCGCCGATTATGATGGAAATGATGAGGTAGCCGTTGTAGTACATGGCTAGCAACATGACAATGTATGCCAATCCAAACGTGGCGGCGTGGATGACGGATCGGATGAGCTGCTGCAGCGGCGACGCGCGGAAGACGAGCGTCTGCGGAGCGACGACGGCGGGGCAGTCCGTCTCCTTGGGCATGCGGGCTTGAAGTTCGGCGGCGCGGGCTTGGAACTGGCGCTGGATGAGGGCATCGTATTCTTTTCCGAGTCGGCGGAATACTTCGAGGAAGACGGTGAGCAGACCGACGCCGATGCAGCTGGCGGCGAACATGCCGGCGTTTTTGATCTGCCATGAGGACGCAAGGAAACCTATCGCATCGAATCATTAGCTTCCATCGTTTCCCGACCATGAGAGGGTATACACCAGAACACTGGTATTTGCCTCGACAAGATGCGCTCATTGTACTTACATGCGTCAATGGTGTACCAGTTCCATAACATCTAGTCGTCCCGTTAGTCTAGCACATGTACTCGGAGGCCGGGGATAGTAACATACAGACATCTTGCAGTCCGTCGAGCTGGCCATCGAACTGTGGTCCATGATGGGCTAGTTTGGCAAGCTAGAAGCTCGTGTGTGAAGGTAGAAGAGAAAAGGTCGAGCTAGTGGATGTAGTGGAGCCTGGCGTCGGATGAGGCTATTCAGAGTATGAGAGTAGCAGATACACTTCGGGTGTCGCAGGTACGATCGAACGGGATGCGATGCGATCGGTTGGGGCGGTCGATTGAGAGGATCTTTATCGAGGGCGATTGAGCAGATGCGAGGCAACTGGTGGTGAGGATTGGTTCAGGTTGGTGTTGTTGAGCACTGGCTGGCGGAGAAAGGATGTCGGTGGCCACCCCGCAGGCCGTCCGCGCTGGAATCGCTCGATATCTATACGGGCTCGAGACCCGGAGTTGGCCTGGAGGCTGGATGGATAGTGGGTGGATGTGAGAGAGTTGAAGGGACGTCCCACAGGTACAGGGTCAGCACGGGCGGAACGATCAGCGATTGCGGAACTGTAGAAGTGACAGGGACCTGGAGAAGAGCAAAAATGGCACACATAACGCAAAGAGAGGGCAAAAAGGTATGCGGAGGGGGGTGTCACTACTTATGGGTTAGCGCAAATATGGCTAGCAGATCCTGGTCAGTCAACGACAATGGTGGTGCTGCGCAAGTTTCAAGAGGGGTCGGCATGGGACACGAGTATGGAAGGATTGAGTAAGGACTTTGGGACTGTCTGTTTTCGCTTTTGACGATTACAAGGGTTCCACTCATGCTGGTCAACGAAAATGATGTTACGTTGGTATAGGACGGCTGTGCGTTGGATAATTGACAAGTATCCGTATTACGACAGCAGACCCTCTATCTTGCTCACGCTAATTTGGCTTCAGCGTTCGCCAAGGGAAACTGAGAAGGAGAAGACATCATTAGCACCTTACTTGGTCTTAACTAAAGCTGCCGGACGGCAACAGACTGAGAGTGTTTCCGAAAACGATTCCAATCTAGGTGGAGAGCGATTCAACTCTTTTGCCACCGAAATCGAGCCAGATTAGAATTCACAAGCGGTTGCAATATGCGACTCGATCCTAAGGTACTGTGCAGTATGGCTGCAATGACAATACTTGTTGATGACAAGCAACTCAACCCCCCCAGGCGCATCTTCAATGAGTTGATTTCGGTTTCCTGGTTTGCATAGAGAGATATCTTGAGTACCTACGGATATTGTATTTCACAACGCTTTCGTCGTTCAATTGACGGTGATCGCAAAAGCCACCCGACCCGAGTGTGGGTCTCCCGTTTGCCAGGTTCCGCCGAAACCATCTCGGGTGAGCATTCAGCCTATTAAGCCAGCCCTAGAGCATACCTTATTGAGGTTGATCCGCCCTGCTGGAAACAACGACTCGGCGCCCAAAGAGGCAATGGCTTGGACAAGCTGGAGGTGGCCTTCACAACCTGACAACGTAAAGAGGTTTGGTGAGTCCAAGGTTCGCAGCAGAGGTGACTGGGAGTTCGGGATGAGGGCAAACATGGCAGGAAGAACCTTGACGGTCCCGAGAGCCGCGCCGCTCCTGCAGCCCGGCCCCACACGCCACGGTGGGTCTTGTAGTTCGATTCCCACGCGATACCCCAGTCCAGACCCGCTTTCCAACAGAAACTTGCTCAAAGATGCTCAACTTGCTCACTCCCTTTCACCACACGATCATGTTTTCCGTGTTTTACAACACCTTCATGGTACTATCGCTCACTTCATCCGGCTCATGTTGCCCTTTTCGCTCATAGATTGCTACCTTCAAGCATTTGTTCTCTCAGTCCTCCCACATTCTAAACAGCCTGTTCACCATGGGTCTCCTAACGTGCTCACTTCCGGCTCATTCCCCGCTAATGTGCTCTAGAAACAGTCCAAGGACCCTCGTTCCTTTTGCGAAGGTAGCATTACTACGTAGATCTTTGAATCTGGCCAGACCCTCCCATCACCCTCCAGAACCGGGAAGTAATTATTGCCTTGGCCAAACTCAGCGCAGCCATTCTTGATGACACAGAAACTTGCTCAAAAAGCAACTGTATAAGCGGGTTTCAATATGGAGATTCTCTTAAGAGTGACACCAGTGGTTCCGTAGCCCTCCTTCCGGCTCCAGACATCGCGGAGCCGCCCCAAACCCGGAAACATTACCAAGACCCCTAGATTAACTAGCCACCTTGAAAATCCCATAACCCGCCGTGACGAGCTCCTAGAAACCTTCTCAAATCCCGCCTGGTCCCGTTTCTTCTACTCGGATTATGTTACTACGCTGCATCACCGGTGCCACACCACCCTACCTTTAAGAGTCTCTACCTCGCTGGCTGTCATTCACTCACATCTGCCCTCATCCTCTACCATACCGCCCACCGACACCTGTCCACGCTATCGTTCACAATATCCTCCTTCCATGTTGCAAAATCTAACACTCTTTGCTCTCGTCTCATGCAACCTGATGTTGTCTTGAGACTGACAATACGACGGCATTTACACATACGTCTACCACCTCAACCATCTGCGCACTAGCATCTCTCTCAAAGCAGAATATCTCCAAAGAGTCGAGGTGTTAAGACGGCGCTGAGCGCTGTCACAAGATACAGCCCGACCCTCGGTCGTCTCACAACACCTCCATCAACACCATGGATTCTCAACTCAAGACCCATGTGGCGGCCCGTCATATCCAGAATCTGAGCGATGCCACTACCATAGAACCTCACTGGGGCTACGTGGATCGAGCCCTCCCGTGTACGAACGACGCCGGGTCCTGCGCCTATCTTGACGTTGTCTACCATTCTCACGATTTGGGCATGCTATATGTCGGTATTATGTGGGCAGTCATTGGCGCCATCTTATTAATATGGGCCATTGGTCGACGAGCACTTCCATCCCTCTCTGAGGAGGATGTCCTTCGTGCTGCTCTTCTCGAGGATACTCGTGCAAGCCAGAGCTTCCTCAACCGTCTCCGCCAGACGACCTCGTCCGCAATCAACCGATACCTCCTCCCCGACAGCGTCCGTTCCATCTTCGGTAGAACTACCCGCCTGCAGGTGTTGATCTTGGCCGTATTGTCCGGCTATCTCTTGATCTTCTCCTTTGTCGGTATTGTCTACAACACCTGGATCACCCCCGTTAAGAAGATGCCAGGCGTCTACAACACCAGAGTCAGTCTCGGCCCCTGGTCTGATCGTATTGGAATACTTGCCTATGCCCTCACGCCTCTGTCCGTCCTCTTCTCGACACGGGAGTCGATTCTCTCCCTTCTTACTGGCGTTCCCTACCAAAACTTCAACTTTCTTCACCGCTGGGTTGGTTACATCATCGTTGTCCAGTCCAGTCTGCACACGATCGGCTGGCTGGTGATCGAGGTTCGTCTCTATCAGCCTCAGCCTACGGTTGCCAAAGAATGGATATCCCAGCTTTATATGATTTGGGGCTGCATCGCCTTATTCTTCCTCATGGCCCTCTATATCCTCAGCTTGCCCCCAGTCATCCGTCTGACTGGCTACGAATTTTTCCGCAAGTCACACTACGTGCTCGCCATGTTGTACGTAGGTGCTTGCATCGGTCACTGGAAGAACCTGGAGTGTTTCATGATTCCGGCTCTCGTTATCTGGTTCATGGACCGCTTTGCCCGTGTTGTCAGAACTGCGTTGATGCATCACAACTTCATTGAGGGCAAGGGTATGGGCTTCTCTGCTGCACAGGCAGCCATGACAGTATTTCCCGATCCCGAGAACGGCGACGTTGTCCGACTCGACTTCAGTCACCCCCACGATGCCTGGAAGATTGGCCAGCACTTCTACCTGTGCTTCAGCGAGAGCAGCATTTGGCAATCGCATCCCTTCACGCCCCTCAACGCCCCTACTACTGTGAACGGGAGAACGAAACATTCCTACATTTTCCGCGCCAAAGGTGGCGAGACGAAAAAGGTTGCTCAGATTGCTGCACGTAAGCTCGCTGCAGGTCCTGTTGAGAAGGGTACCGCCGGTCCAACCACTCCCGTTGTCTTGACTGGACCTTATGGCGACCCGATTTTGAGAAACATCACGTCAGACGTCAACATTCTGTGTGTCGCTGGTGGCACAGGTATCACATATGTTCTCCCCGTTTTGATGAGTCTGAAGAAGCACTCCGGGGCATCCAGAAAGCTCGAACTCATCTGGGTTGTAAGACATACGAACGACGTAGCCTGGGTGCAGTCTGAGCTTGATGCTTTGGAAGCTGAGCAAGGCCCAAAGGTGGTGGTTCGCCTCTTTGCCACACGCGACTCCCGCGATGCCCTCACTCGCCCCGGACAATCCGGAGACCTCTCGGAGTCGGAGTCTTCGTCTGATGCTGGCAATAGCTCGGGTGAAAAGCAAGTACAGGTGTCGGCTCGGGCGATAGACCAGGTGCGTGTCAACGACACCCGCCGCCATCCCGAGCTGGCGACAGTTGTCCGAGAATTTGTCGATGCCACCGTGGCTGGGCGAACGGCGGTCTTCGCTAGTGGCCCTGGCGGTTTGATGTCCGACATGCGACAGGCGGTGGCTCAGTGTAACTCGGTGGGCAAGGTCTGGAACCGCGAAGAGCGGTACAACGTATCACTCATCCATGACGAGCGTATGGAGCGATGATTACAGCAGGACAGCCCAATTTGTGACCGATGTTGTGGTTTATGTTGATGTGGAATGCATTTGAAGCCTTATGAGTTAAATTATACCCTAGATGAGCTATTTCGCAGCTTTTACTTGAATATGTTTACGTCTGTCTACCTTGAAGCTGCGCCTTGAGTAATGGGTGAAAAGTTTTGGAGAGATCATATCTTTGGTGTATATCTATGGGGGTATTACGAAGCTGTTTGATTGGTATGAAAATTAACATTTGTTTCCTAGTTTTGTGACGGGGATGTGGAAGAAAGAATTAGACGAAGCTTGTCGATTCCCCCGATGTAAAAGCGAGCACCTAAGTAGGTATTCAAGGCTTGTAAAGGTCTAGCCAAAGCTATTTCATAATGCTATTAAGGCCTCTAGTAATTATAGAGACTTATACTAAGTAGTTAATAGTAGAGGCAAAGCCATCTTTTAAATAACAGCTCACTCTACCTATTATTATTATTATTATTATTATTTTAATATCTTTATAAATTTATCTTTTTACACCTGAATTGTTTTCGTTCAAATGATTATTATATATATAGTTATAGTAAATTTTTTTTTAGGTTTATGAGTATAAAATATTTGATAAAAGGAATTTTTAAAGAAAGTATATAATATAATATATAATATAACTAACGTATATATATAGTAAGTCGCCTATTATAATAAATCGCCCACTTTTCTTTTCTTTTATACTTTTTATTTTTTAAATTTTTTCATATAATAATATTTTCTTTTTAAATAAAAACTATATTATCTTTATATTTTAAATTATTATAAAAGATTTTAAATTATTTATATAAAAAGGGGTTTTAATATAACGTACTTATATAGCGAGCGACGTATTATAATAAATAACGTCCTCTTTATAACCTTTTAAATTTTCTATAAATTAATTTAATTATAATATATAAAATGAATTAAAACTATATTATAAAGGGTATAGCTAAGTACTATAGCTAGGAAAGATATAAAAAGTAGGTCTAGTATATTAAATAAACTTAAGCTTAACGTTTTTATAGAACTATTATAAAAATTAGGCTTTCTTTTTAAATTAAGCTTTATTAAAGATTTACTAAGCCTTAACTATAGCCTTATAACTAGGCTATATTAAGCCTTAATTATAACTTTATAATTAAATTAGGCCTAATTAAGTATTTATATATTAAATACTTCTATAATTACCCCCTTTTTTCAAGCTTTAACCTTTAAATAGCTATTTATTATATAACTTATTATTAATTAGTAGCCCTATTTTATTAATAAGCCTGGTATTATAAATTTAATAATTATTAATAAATCTTTATAATTCTTTATTTTTAAAAATAGCTCTTTTTATTTATAATAAAAATAGGGAATTAATATACGGGCGTCGCTCTTATATGGGCATCGCTATTCGACCTTTTAAATAGTATAAAAAAAATTTATTAATATAATTAAATTCTATTAGATACCTATAAAGTATCCTAAGCCTTTATTCTTTTACTCCCTTTACGTTTAGGTTATATTATTAAGCCTTGAAATCTAACTTATAGTATTTACCTATAATAGCTTTTATAATTAAAGTTAAAGACGTTCCCTAAGGCTAATCTTAAAATAATACCTTTATTAAGAGATTTTCCTTTTTATAAAAGCGATTATTAATTAATTACGGCCTCCTATTATTATCCGGCTAACTATTATTATCTCCCTTTTTAAAAAATAGCCGCCCTAGTATTAACTAATTTTATAAAGTTAGTAATTTTAAAGGGTAACGTAACCTTATTACCGAGCTCTTAGCCGGTATATTATAAAATATATAACTTTTTATAAATAATTACTTTAATATAGAGCTTATATTATATTTTATTTATTATTTCTTTAAAGGAATAACGAAAACCTAGCGGACTACCCTCCTATAACTTTATCTAGAGTATAATCCCTCTCTTTTTAATAAATAGTTCTAGTAACCTTTTTATCCTATAATAAAGCAGTTTAATAATACTTTTTAACTTATTAAATAGGTTATTAAGACTAATTAATAATTAATAACGGTACTATTCCGATAATAAAAATATATTTATTAATAGTAAGAAATATAAGGTCTTTAAGTTAACCTATTACCTTATTTACCTTTACGGCTATCCTTTATTTAAAATATAGCGTCTTTCCGAATTATAACCTCCTACTATATTCTAAATAACCGATCCTCTTTTCCTTTTATAACTTAAATCCTAAACCTACCGATTCTTAATAATCTAAAGTAAACCTATAATACCCTTTTTAACTAAGTTAATAATTTTATAAAGGCTAATAGATTTAATATTATAAAACGGAATAAGTATAAAATTCGAGGCCGAATTATTTAATATACCTTTTAATATAATCGGTTTAATAAGCCTAGGCCTATAGAAGACGTTAGTATTTAATAGCGTAAATTTCGTAAATACGGTTATAAATAATAAGTTATTACTAAGGCTTAAGAGAAGGATAAATAGCTATTACGTTATTATCTAGACCCCTAGCATAATTAATATAATTATAGCCCTAGCTTTAAAGCCTCTATATACCCTTTATATTATAGGCTTACTGAAGTAATTTAGGATATTATTAAAATTATAAGCTAGCGAGTTAGGATTCGGGCTTATAATATATATACTGTTATTTAAAAATAGTTTTTAAAGTCCTTATTTATTTAGTAAGATATTTATAATACTAGGGCTTATATAAGCCGAAAGAAATTAGTTAGATATTTATTAATTATAATATTAATTAAGCTATTTAATAAGTAAGATATCCTATATATAGTAAAATAGATAAATAATAAGTTAAACCGCCTTATTAGCCTTATCTAGACCTTTCCTTATTATCTCTAAATATAAAAGCGATTCCCTAAAGTAATTAGTTTCGATAATACCTATAATATTAATTACTTTAAACTCCCTTTCTTTTAGGCTATTAGGTAGACCTACTTCGGATCTATTTATAATACCGTATTCGGCTTTATTAATAACGAAAAATTAAAGGGTTTCCAGTTTCTTTCGGTAAATATCCGCTAATTTATAGACTAATACTTAGTCCGTTATCCTATTATTATTATTATAGACTATAATAAATAGATAAAGGCTATATTAAATAAATAGTTCCCGGATATTTAATAATAACTTTATATTTACTATATTAACTTTAATATTATATTTAGAGCTAAGTAAAAATAGGTTAAGGACCGTAGCTATAGTAGTAATAATAGTAGGTCTAATAACGAGGGATATTAGTTATTAATATAAGTAATAGCTATATTAAGTAATAAAGATAAGGCCTATATTAATATACCTATTAATAAGCCTCCCCCTTATACGTATCGTAGGGTCTTTATAATATGGAAGCTTATTGTTTTTATTAAAACTAAGTATATTTTCGAGAAAGCCTAGATTAAGCTCTATAAAGAGTTTAATAACTAATGCCTAATCCTTTAGTACCTTTATATAATATACTTACTTTTAAAAATATAATAGGCCCGTTACTCTATCCGAAAATACTAGAATTTTAGTATTTATATTACCTCTAGTATTAAATTAAGTAATAATAATATTAAAGGTTATCTTTTAAATAGTCTTAATTACTTATATTAGCTTATCGATATTATATAGGATATAATTAATAATTAAGAGCTATGCTTTCGCTAGGCTTATATAGAGGACGAGGTACTTATAGGCCGGGAGTATATAAGTACTTGCTTTAAGTACTTAGGCGAACTTTAAATAATATTTTTTTTAAAATATTTTACCTTAATTAGGACATAAGGCCGGCTTATAAAAAAAGTAATATTATTTAGTAAGAGGCTATTCTTAGCCCCCTTTAGATATTATAGTTTAGATTATACTGTTTTGATTAAGCTGGGTATCCTATATTATTATAAAATCTATTTTAAAATATTAAATTTGCTTATTTTTAATAAGTAGGAGGTATATCCTTAGTGGTATTTTTAAAAAATATCTTCTTTAAATCTATACTGCCGGATCTTTAATTTTAAGATTATTATATCCTTCCGCGGTAAGTTAAAGAACGTAGTATAGCCTATTTTATTATAATTAACCTTCTTTAAAGAAGGCCGGTTAGCTAATTAAGCCTGTACTACTTATAGTAATTAAAGCGTAAGTAATAAGAAGTAAGGCCGCCTATTTAGGAATAAAAATAAGTCGATATTAACTAAACTTATAAAAAAGATAAGTTAGTTAAATTAAAACTAAATATTAATCTTATCCTAGCGATAAATAAGGAGCTAGTCTAGCGTTCTTAATAGGGGGAGAATAATAAGGAATTATATAAATAAACAGCTAATATAGCCTAGTATTTAGAGGAAACGGAGCTAGTAGGAAGTAGTTTATAATAATAATAAATCTTTATAACTATATCGGAAAAAATAGTTAGATAATAGGCTATTTTAAGGGTTATATAATATTAACGTCGTTATAATTTACTCTTTATATATCTTAAGTATATAGTAAAAGGAAGCCTTATCTATTTAAGATTTATAAAAGCTTATATTATTATAATTTAGCTTTTATAAATTTCAAACTAGAGCTTAAGTTAGAAAGGATAGTAGGAATAGCTATATTAATATAGTTACCCTTACCGCCTTTATAAGGAGGTACTATTTTTTTAAACTAATTAAAAGGTCGAATAGCGACGCCCGTATAAGAGCGACGCCCGTATATTAATTTGCGACGCCTATATATCAATTCCCCTTAATAAATACTATTTAAAGTTATTAAATAATTATATTAATATTTAGCTTAAAATACGGTTTATTTTTATTATATCCTATTTATAAATCTATTTTATAAGATAAAAAATATCGACCTAAATAAGTAGCCTCTATATAAGATTTTATATTTAGATTATATTTAATAAAAGAAATAATAAGGGAAAGCCGATAATCAATTATAGAATTATTTAATTCTTTTAAATAAGTTCGACGATAGCGATAAAGATAGGGTTATTTATTATACCTATTTAATATATCTATATTATTATCTCTATTATTATATTCTCTTTTTTATTATATAAAGTATTTTTTTATTAATTTTTAAATAAACTTACTAACTTTATTATTATAAGGTTCTTATTTTTTAGGTTAATACTTATTTTTACCTTTACCTAACTTAATCCTAGATTTATAAGTTCTAGATAACCTAGAGCTTATAATTAATACCCTATTTAACTAAATTAATATATTTATTAAAAAAAACGGGTTTAATATTATATATTAATATAAATATATATATAAAAATAAAAAAATAAAATATACGTTTTAATACGACCGTTTTAATAAACTGCGGCCTATTAAAGGTAAAGGGTTATATTAGCGAAAGTCGTAAAAATATAGATATAAATAGATAATTATTATTAAAATAAAGAAAGAGGGCGCTTAGTTTTTATAATACTATGTTAAAGCCGAGTATACCT